ATTATTTAGTTTAGACTATATAATTTTAGCTATTAAATAACATGAATCTTTAATATTTTTCTATTAATATTTTAGAATATGATGTAGTTTGAAGAATATAAAAGCTAACTCTCTTACATTTTAAGTAGTATTAGTTTGAAATTTAGAATAGATAAAGAGTGTTATGTACTCAAAATTAAGGCATTTTGAATTTCACTATTCCTATTAAGTTAAAATGACATTGATTTGAAGAATATAAGATTAGGAAGCCTAACATGAAAATATGTTGTATTGAACTTTTTGCATCCTATAATATTAAAACAGGTTTTGCATTTTGATGTATACTTTTTCGTTAAATTAAATCATAAAAAGTAGAAATTGCTTGATTATTTATACCAACTGAAAAATCATTATCCTCATAAAAAATTTGAAAATAAATTATCATGGGAAACATGTTTATTATATGTGTAAGTGTTTTCTTTTCTTATAGCCATGGACAATTAATGGTGTTTATAAAGGGACTATTAAAAAGAAAATGAGAATTGAGTGCCCTACTTTTATAATGATATATACATATATATATATATATATATAATGGATATGATTTAAGGGTAAAGAAATAAATTGTGTACGTACAACAATTTCTTTTTTTTTAACATGCCAAATTAATTTGGTAATTGTTGCAGAAAAAGCAGGCATGGGTTGGATCGGCCCATGTGTTGTTTTAGTTTGAGAACATTTGCATCAATAGGCCTACTATGACGGTGTTTTGTATTTTTGGTTAAACAAAGATGAACCATGAATGAACTGGAGACCATAAAATTGATGCATCTCCAGGCCTCTCCCTTTCAGCATTAGTTGGATATGTTGCTTTGCCCATTTTAAAAATTGCTATGGATTTTGACATTTGGGAAATGCATGCTATATTTACTTATTCCTATCTTGTTGCTGTCACAGCAACTTCAACCATCTTTTGCAATACTAATCTATTATCAAAACAAACTTGAAAGCAAAGTTACTTAAAACAGTGTCTTATTTTCAGTCTTTGAAATTAACTCAATGAAGAGAGCCTTAATGAAACGCCAAGGTTTGGGCTGGAAATAAATAGAGAAAGGAAAATGATTCCACAGATTTTTTTTGATTCTGATTAAAAAAAACCTCGGTCTAAAAAAATGAAAATTTGATCCAAACATGTCTGGGCCCGATTCGACCCTTTTATGTTTGGTTTTCTTTTCTACTTTTCTTAACCTCCATGAGTCCAACTTGTGATGGTCAAGGGCCCCAAATCCTAGTCCTGGTTATGTTGATGAACATTGGAGGCAAATTCTTTTCAAATTGGTCCACTATAACTCCATGTTCAGGTCAGGCGGTCTGCCACCTGCTAAACTCCATGTTCATGGTTGAAGGTCTTGAGTTCACCACTTAATTCCTCCCTCCCCTTAGTAGCACCATGTAACGTCCATGTTTAAAAAAAAAGAAGAAGAAGAAGCAAATTCTCCATTAAATTACTTGTGTAGATTTGGATCTACAATCCTTGCTCCTTAAAAGTCTAATTTAGTAATAATTTATGTGAGAAATGGGAATAGCTTCCACTTTTTTTTAATGAACAATGTCCTCCAAACTTGACTTACTAAGATGACCTACTCCCACTAGAGAGGTTGGGAATTATTAATCCAGGCTGCAGTCATAGAGGAAGCTTTCAGCATGTTGCTTTTGTAAGCAACTTGTCGATTTTAATCAGTGCTATAAACGTCAATCTTTTTGGTCATTGATTGACCTAAAACAGAACCCTCTTGCAGATCTTCACATTATTACCAACTTCAATATTGGATTGGGTTCTTTATACAATCCTCGATATACCGCATCCTCCTATCTGAATTTTCCGAATTTAGTTCCAATACTGAAGGATATGAAAGGGGAAGAATCATCGTTTTCCTTAGCATCTCTGCTGTCCCTTCTGTTTCTGTTCCTCTCCTTCTTTACACTTACAGTCCAAGGAAGAACCGTATGTTCTTCTGTTTGTGGAAATATTACGGATATCAGATACCCATTTCGGCTGGAGAGTGACCCGCTTGACTGTGGTGTTCCGGTGTACCAACTTTCTTGTGAGAATGATCAAACCATCTTGAATTTTCTGTCGGGAAGATACTATGTGAAGAGAATTAGCTACGAGGAGCGCGTAATCCGTCTCGTTGACTTTAATTTAGCCGACGTACGCTGCAGTCTTCCGTTCACTAATCTATCGATGGCAGATGTGTTATGGGACGGCCGGTACAGCGCAGTGCTTAGTTACCATCACGTTAATTTTCTGACATGCTCCAAGAATCTCACTGATCCGGCTTACACAAGAGTGCCCTGTTTGAGTGGGAATGCGCATCATGTGTTTGTTAATATTAGCAACTACTATCTGTTTCCTGATGAGATACCGGCCTCATGCGAGAAGACTTCATGGGTTCCGACCGTCTATGATGAATCGAAGAAGAATCTTTCATATGAAACCATTTCGAAGATGCTGGAGGAGGGGTTTGATGTGGGATGGACAGTTGACTGCTGGTATTGCAAGTTAGCTTATGGCGATTGCTACTTAAAATCAGAGGATAAACCGTACAGGTATAATTGTAGCTATGATGATGGTGAGTTTCTATTCCCTGTTTTCTTCTCTTTATCTCTTTCTAATTAGGAAGATGGATTCAAGATTATGCTGTTTAAACTCTTGATTTATATCTTGACATATTATTCGCGGCTTTGATTTTGCCTTTTTGGGAACTTAATGCAGATTATGTTCCTACATGGCAGATAATCTTGGCTTTTCTCATGCTCATTCTGATCGGTATAATCCACGCTTGCTTTCTGAATTGAATGCTTGTTTCTCCTTGTCCAACTAATACATCAATTTGTTTTGCAGGGTTAATACTTCTTGTCCGATTCATCCTTGCTCCGCTGGTTGTAATTGGAATCATTCTCCACATGTGTATTACTACGCGAAAGAAGAATAAAAACGTGGAAAACTTCGCACAGGGTCAGCAATTCTCGACTACCAAGAGGTACTCTTATGCTGATGTCATGTCCATGACAAACAACTTAGAGGACAAATTGGGGCAAGGTGGCTTTGGATCAGTTTATAGGGGCCAACTCCCTGGTGGCTGTTTTCTTGCTGTTAAACTACTTGGAACTTTAAAAGTCAGAGAGGAAGATTTCATTAATGAAGTTGCTGTAATTGGTAGGATTCGCCATGCCAATGTGGTACAATTGGTAGGATTCTGTTCTGAGGGTTCTAAATGCGCTCTTCTCTATGAATATATGCCTAATGGTTCTCTCGAGAAGAATGTTTTCTCCAAAAGAGGAAAAGCTCAGGAATACAGTTGGGAGAAACTTCAACAAATTGCTTTAGGAATGGCAAGGGGTATTGAGTTCCTGTGTACAGGGGATCATGACTTCGCTGTTCATTTAGATATTAAACCTCAGAATGTTCTGCTGGATCAGAATTTCATCCCCAAAATAGCAGATTTTGGCTTGGCAAAACTCTATCCAAAGAAGTCTGATTTTGTGTCAATGTGTGCAACTGGTGAAGCAATTAGATACATGGCACCAGAAATGATCTCAAGGGATTTTGGAGAGGTTTCTATCAAATCTGATGTTTATAGCTTTGGGACGTTGCTGCTGGAAATGGCTAGCAGAAAAAGGAATGTTGATGTGGATTCATGTAAAATGTTCTTCCCTTCATGGGTGTATGACCAACTTGAAGACGGAGGGGAGACAGAGCTGCTTGACAGTGAGGCTATCACTGCAAAAAAGCTGTTGATAATTGGATTGTGGTGTACTCAAGTGAAGGCATCAGATCGACCCTCAATGAGTAGAGTCATCGGGATGTTGCAAGGGAGCATTTATGAATTGGAAATGCCTCCAAAGCCTTTCTTATCTACTCCTCAGTATACGTCTATGATGGAGCTTCAGTTGGATTCTCCAAATGAGCTGCTAATAATATCTGAATCAATGGAGAAAAGCTCATAGAAAATCAGAAAACCTCCAGATTCTCCCACTAAGATTTTCTAGAGTGTAAATATGTACTGTTTCTATGTGGTTCTAGTAGCTAGGCTGTGTACTCTCTTGTGAAAAGAACTAGTTTTAAAATTAATTCCATGCAATTGTGGAAGCGCTGATTTTCTTGTTAATATTATAACTCAGGTAAATAAAGTATTGGAGGGTCTCGTGTAATCCTACCATAAAGTTGATTGTTACCCTTCTAAAAGCAGATGTTTGTTTATGTACACATGATGCCAAACTGGGTTCTAAATTTACTTGAAAGATGTGAGGCAAAGATTGCCAATGCCTACGTATGGTATATCCACAAGTTCAAGAAGTGACTTACTAGTTTTGTTGATAAATCCAGTAAACGAAAGTTATGTTTAGTTGGAAGAATGACTATTCTTAAATAAATTTAATAAACTTAACAAACTATCGTTTCTACTAAGTTAAGAATTAAATAAAAATATATATTGCCATAATACCATGCCCCTATCCTAAGATTGCCTTCTTTTTTTTTTTTTTCATTAGCAGTCAAAATATGATACTTCATTAAGATAAAATTACAATGTTATCTTTAAGCGTGCATATTCCTTGCTTTTTACCTACTTTAAAAGGAAAATTATAAATCGACAGCTTACAGGGTGTATTGTATTGGGTAGTGTTATAGGAATAATTTTTTAATCTTATTTTTTTATACAATTTCTACATATCATTAATAAATAGATGTATTTAATATCACAAGTCCCATATAAATTAAAAAAATTAATTATTTTAATAACACGTAAGATTATAAAAAAAATAAGATAAAAAAGTTGTATAAAAATCACTTCCCTATTATATCTATCTCATTTTGCTACAAGAGCCGAGTTGGATTACCTATTGGCCTCATAAAAAGTTTAAGGGCTTAATTGCCTCTTCATGACAAGTTTGAGGCCTCAATAACAGTTTTCTCGTTTTTTCACATCCCTCCAAAATTGAGCAGTCCTGGTGCGGTCATGCAAATTGAAGTTGGATATTGTAATTTCACCAAATCAGAAGTTCTTCTTTGATCTGTGTTTTCACTTCAGATATATTTGCAAAGCCTAGAGGTGATTCTTGAGATAGACACTTTGATACTTAAATTAACAATAATTGGATCTACCTTTATAACGAAAAAAAAACTATGTCAATTTTAATTACCTTTCTAAGGTGAACCTCAGAGTATTTATAAACTTTAATGAGGTGTTCACATGACTTACTTAACAAGATAATTGGAGTTCAACATATTCCTTCAGACGATAATTTCGAAACCGAGAAATTAAGTGTGAGGAATCAAGTATGGACATGTTCATTGTACCTATTACACAACTATTTGGCTGAAGCGTTGGATTTAACTTCACTTCAATTATTAAGGAAATGTAACAATATGTCTGAGGTTAAGGATCTCAAATTTATCCGTATAGATCTTGTTAATGCAGACATTTATGAAGCTTTCCATTTTATGAGTTGGATTTGGATTAGCATTATTCTTCTTACACAATTATGTCTTTGACTCTTGACTCATCTTCGAGATTTGGAGGAAATTCCAACCCGTGTACGGATTTTCGAATTTACCAAGTACCATCTTGGGTTCTATACATATATATATCCACATACATCTGCAATCAACATTCAAGAAACAGAAAATCGTATACTGTATTTGATTTGTCCTCAGAATCGTCCCATTTTAGTCTCAATCCTGTAGAGATAAGAAATGAGAAGGAAAGAGTCATTGTTTTCCTCTGCATCTGTTCTGTTTCTTCAGTTTCTGTTTCTCTCCTTTGTTACAGTTCGAGGAAGAAGTGACCCAATATCATGTTCTTCTTCATGCGGAAATTTGACAAATATCAGAAACCCTTTTCGCCTGGAGGGTGATCCACCGGGCTTGGCGATCCTGAGTACCAATTTTCTTGCGAGAACGGCGAAACCATCTTAAATTTTCATTCTGGAAGGTACTTCGTGAGGAGAATTAACTACGAGGAACGCATATTTCGTGTCGTTGATGTTAACTTAGCCAGAGGTAGCTGCAATCTGCCAAACCGGTCTCTGTCCATGGAAGAGGTGATCGGAGGCGGCCGGTACAGTGGAGTACTAACATACAATCATATCAATTTCCTGAGATGCCCGGAGAATCTCACCGACCCGGCTTATACCAGAGTGCCCTGTTTGAGTGGGAATGCAAACCATGTGTTTGCTAATATTAGTGACCACGTTTTATATCCTCATCAACTTCCGGAGTCATGCGTGAAGACTTCAGTTGTTCCTACAATCTATAATGCTACGGAAAAGAACCTTTCCTACGAAGCCATTTCGAGAATGCAAGAGGAAGGTTTTGATCTGGGATGGTCAGTTGACTGTAGGGATTGCATGGCAGATGGTGGTTACTGCCAGTTAAGATCCCAGGATATTAAACGATACACCTATAAGTGTAGCCATGGAGGTCAGTATTTAACCCTCTGTTTTCTTCTTTTCTTTTGCTGTTTTATGAAGAGTGAATCAAGATTATGCTGCTGAAACTTTGCTTCATGCATGGTTTATATCTTGATCAGTATATATACCATTTGGGACTTGATTTTCCTTTTGATTTTTTGGGTGCTAAATTCATGCAGATTACATGCCTCGATGGAAGATAATCTTGATTTGGGTCGGAGTCATTCTCATAGGTGTCATAGGTATAATTCACTTGCTCTTTGTTTCTCCTCGGCTACTTTTCGTTTTTTTGGGTGTTTTGAGGATATTAGTATATCCCTATCTCATGCATAGTTTTTGCTTGGACTAAACCAACCAGTACCACGTCAATTTGTTTTGCAGGGTTAATTGTGGTATTGGCTGTAATTGGATTGATTCTTTGCAAGTGTAAAAGAAGAAGAAAGAAGAATGAAAACATGGAAGACATTGCGCATGGTCATCAGCAAAACACAGCTGTCTAAAGAACTAAACTGTTCCCGGCCAAAGAAAAGGGACACTGTTTGCTGTTTGAAACACACACACTGACACACAAAATATAGAACCAGAAAACGGTTTTACAGGAGGATTATATGCAGTTCGTTATGTAAAATTACTTAAATGTTTTTAAAAAAATAATATAAAACAGATTTTAAAAGCATTTAAATAATTTTACAGGACGGACTACATACAGTCCATCCTGTAAAACAGTTTTCTCATATAGAAGATGGTGTATGCTCTTGTAACAGTTTTTTTATGTGTGTGTATTATTTGATTTTTTGATTTGTGATTGATAAAATTGGATGAAGTTGTGCAACTGTCTTATGCAGTTATGCTATTTGAAAAAAAATAGAAGATTAGCCATAAAAAAAAAAAAAAAAAGAAAAAGAAAAAGACGGGATATTATCTAATAAGGTGCCCAACGGACCGTACTGTAATGTCGAAGTTTTTGTGATCTAGTATGCCCATGGCCCTATTAGCGCAAGCCCAAAATTGAAAAATTGGAACCCAAGTGCCTGGAGCCTACAAGCTAAGAATCTAAACGTGCGAAAAGAGTTCTTCTTCTTCTTCTTCTTCTTTCTTTTTTTTTTTTTTTTGGGAGGGGAGGAGGTAAGTGGGATGGCATTCGTTTCTTATCTTTTCTTTCCGCTCATAACTTATAGAGAAATTATCTTAGTCAATGTTAGCCCATAGATGCCACAATTCATTGTATATATATGATTTAATTAGGAAGTGTTTGAATTAAATATTTAGACATAATTAGTAGCTAATAATTAATATATGAAAACTAATAATTGTTATTGTTTATAATTTATACTTAATTTGTTTGGTTGAAACTAGTTGCTAGTTGTTTGCAAAATATCAAAATAAACACCTCTTTATTCTTTTGCATGGAGCTTCAAACATAATAGTTGAATATGGAAAATTAGGCAGTGCTTTCCACCTAAGATTGTGACCCAACATTATGCCTAACTCATTCCCTAACTTAACGCTTCTTAGACCAAAAAAGCATTATATTTCTTTCTATTTTATAGTCTATAATCATTAGGTATATAATTTGTCTGAAATGATTAACCAATACTTAAGCTCAAATTTTTATATTAAAGATCTAATTAAATTTCAAATCTTAAATTACAAAGATAAAATTTTAAAAAGTCTCTTATTTTATAATTTATCAACCAAATGAGTAAATAAAAAAACATAAAAAAGAAAAAAACTTTTAAATGAAAGTTGGAAATGACCAATTGAAAAGTCAAAAAAAGCGTGCAACTATTAACAATAGGGAAAGCAGAGAGACAAGAAAGAAAAATGGAGACACATAGAAAAGAGAAAAGAGAGAAGCAAATTAAGTAATTTCCTTCATCTTTTTAATTCATGCCAAAAGCAAATACACTACATACTACATAATGGGTGTAAGTGATGCATGCCCAGAAGCATTCATACAAAATCCAAACACTCTCCAAAGTCAACTCCAACTCCAACTCAAGATGTCAACTATAAAACACTAACCAACCTTAAGAAACCAAAGCTACCTCAGTATGCATCTCTTACATCCCATCTTCATATCACAACATTAATTCCAAAATGAAAAAGGAAAAGAAGAAGAAGAAGAGTAAAACTAAGGCTAAAGATGAAATAAAACACACCAACTAGAGGTTAAACAAGGAATTAAAGACTATATTAAAGAGCTAAAGTTTAAGTAAAATCGGACCGTTACCCTCAATTCCCCGCAATGCAACGATGCTGCTCTCCCAAATCTGCCCCTTAATTTCAACCGGGCTATAAACTTAGGAGAGCGCAAGTGCAAAGCCTTTCTATCTTTTATCCATATTTACAGAAGAACCATTCCCCACCGCAGCCCCACTGTGAACCTCCGCTGCCTCCTTCGCAACCCTGCCGTGCATCGGCGGCGGATCCCCACCACCGACTGCCAATCATCATCTTCATGTCTATGTAACTGTGGTTAATTAGTAGGGTGAAAATGGTATGTAAAAGCAAAGTTGATTGGTGGAAAAAAAAGAGAGGGTATAGGAGTTTAGGAGGAGTGTGGATATAGGCATGAAGGGACATGATGGGTGGTATATAAAGGCGAGATCATAGCTTTTGGTTGCATAATTTTTGTATTAATTTAATGAAAATTTGGTTAAAGTGAATGTTGAAATATCTCGGTCCAAGGCAGGAGGCTTAAGGGCATGTTTGTGGGGAATGCAAATAAGTCCACTAACTCGAATTCCGAGGCCCTTGGAGTATTCATAATGGTATACAGTGATGGGTTTTGTTTGTCTGTGTATGTGAGGAAAGGACTAAAGGTGGCTGCTTCCACACTGCCTTTTGTGAAAACGCTCAAGACACAAGTGTTAATGGCGAACTTTTTAGTTTTATTGCCCTATTATTGAGGGGCTGAGTGGAATTGGCCTTGGAGGTTGTGCGTATGGATTTTGAACCAAATCAATTCGTGAGATGAGAGCTTTGAATATCTATGGATATGCCTATGTGCATCTTAGTGCACTACACACATATTGAAGCAGCTGCTGGTTGGTGATTGAGTAATGAGCAACTGTTCATACTAAATTAGAACCTTTTTTTTTTAATCGGCTAATTCTAATTTTAATGTCAGTCTTGAGTTGGGAATACCGTTGTGCTATGAAAACAGAAAAAACTAAGATATATTTACCTTAAAAATATCAGAATTAGCAATAATAATCGCAATATAAATGAGATATAATTAAAATTTATATCATATTTTACATATTTAATAAATGTGATTGGACAAAACTCTTATTTTTCTCTTTTCTCTTAATTATTACTCTTTTTATTTTAAAATAATTATCATCTTTTTACTTTGAATTTATTGTAAATTAATTGTCATTTTTTTTTAATTTTTTCAAAGTTGACAAAAATTTTTTCCCTACTTTAACTTTATCATTGTCTATTTATTTTAATTAGTTATCCAATTACAAAAAATATATTTTGGTTTTTATTTCTTTTTTGAGAATGTTATAAATAAATAAAAATATTGTCTCTAAATTTTTAATTTAAAAAAAATTAAAACATGGTAGTTTTTTTAAGACAAAAGAAATAATGAATAAGAAAAAAGATTAGGAAAAATGGGAAAATGGTCATTTCAACTCCAGACTAACTTTAAATTGGTAAATGTCATAAAATAAAAAACTAATCACAAATTGTAGTTTTTTTTTTTCTTTTTATAAAATAAAATTTGTTGAGGGAAGTCCAAGAGGTATTTCAAATATTACCAATCCAAATTTTGGAAAACACATATCATGCGGGAGGAAAAGGAACAAGATCGGATAGACCATCAAAAGTTCAAAACCCTTAAGAAGGTAAAGGTAAATATATGCAACTAGCTATCTTTGGCATACAGCTGGGAGAAAAGATATCAGTTATTGGAGGAAAAGGCTAAATTATCTATACTTTTGACCTAACAAAAGGATTTAGATTGTATGAGTCAAAGTTAAATTGGAGAGGAATTTTTTTACAAGTTATTATATATGAATAGGTAGTCTACCCCTTGAGAAAAAAGTTAGAATTCAGAAGTTTTGAAAAAAAAAAAAAAACTTCTATTAGTTTCCCTTATGTTTCAATATCTCTAGTAGAAAAGAGGATCGGGTTATTATGCCAAACGTTACTCTAAATATTAATTAATTAGTTTAATTGCCTACCACCCCCCAGCAATTTTAAAAGCTATCATATCAACTTTAATCATATAAATCTTTATAGAACCACTTTAACTATACACATCTCTACATTGTTCATCTTTATTGTGTATAACTAGAACATGGCCAACTTTAGATCAAATTAATGTCTCCAACTTTAAAACAAAGTTGTGATATTGTTTTGGTTTTGTTGGATTCATTTTCAAGCAAGAAAAAAGTGGTGTGTTGGGTCCTTTGATGACTTTTAAACATTGTTAATGCCATAGTAATCAATCATGCATACCTAAGTTTAAGGCGTGCTTCTTGGCATGTTTAATTTGCTATAGCCAATTAGAAATTGAGTGCACATGTTCAATAATTTCCCCGGAATGAAGTTTGCACAATAAGATATGAGATCATGGCAAACTAAGATTAATTAATGGTTATTATTATTTTTTCTAACATATTCGAGGGTTAGTTGCTTAATATAAAAAATGTTTGAATATCTAATTTTAACCTCTAATAAAAATTTTAATTTGGCCAAGTTTTTGTTTGTAGTTATTACTTTTTTTAGTTAGTTACAAAACATATATATTCTCATGGCAACACGTCATTATACAACAAAGAGGATGCAAACCAAAATTGTCATTAACCCAAAACAACATGGCGCTATGCAATCAAATGGGTACTCACATGAGTCACGATTGCATACCTTATTACGTTATACAATATATTTACAACTAGAAAATATTGTTTCCATGCATGAAACACGCATGATCACAGGTTAAAACAAACATAAATGACAAGCATGCACGACATTTCTTTCATGAATGGTAATTTAATAACTAATATTGATCTCATCAAGCCAATAACAAACTCTGAAAACAAATTAGTGAAAATTTTGCCAATCCGAGTTTAAAATAAGCCCAAGCCGTCTTCTTCTATTTCAATTCAAACTAAGATGCATATTTACCAAGAAAAAATAAATAAATAAAAGAGCTTAAGCATATATAAGAGTTTCTTCTTCTTTTTTTTTTTAATATATTTACAAGGATCGATTTAAACCGTTACTCGAAAAAAAAGAAGTGCACTTCAATGTGGTTTTATTATTATTGGATCCGAAAGTTCAAGTGCATAGAATTTAATGTCTACAGTTAGAGAAACATCCATTTAATAATTTATATTATGTAATTTTGATTATAGACTATTTTATTCGAAAGGGTAACTAATTAAAAGAATAAAAACCTTGTTATGGATGAAATAATTGCAGCAGTCTTTATCTGGTGAGATGGAGATGTTTGTCGAGACAAAGAAACAGCCTTTTAGGTCTGATTGGTTTGGTTGAGGGCCAAGACCACTTTACCAGTTTTCTTCCATTGCAATTTTATGAAAAGAGAAAAGAAAAAGGGGAGTAAAGATACAATCATACAAACACAGCCTTCGACATAAGTCAGCGGAGAGATTCTGATTCTCACTTCCTTTGATATGGATACAGCAACTGTCTTAATATTACAGCTTCAGCTTTGGTGGATGTCTTGATCCGATTCGGTCAATTTGTTTGCCTAGATGAGACAGCAAGCCTTTTCCGGCCTTACGATCGTGATCAAGCGGTTGATGTTGTACCATGGGTGAAGGTGGAAAGTTCTGTTCATGTTGACTGCGAGTTTCCCGGGATTTCACTTTCTTACCGTGGAAAAGTCATCTAGTGAACAACTCTTTCATATATGTATTTTTTAAATAATTACTATTTTTAATTTTTTTTTATATATTAAGAAATTAAAAATAATTTATTATTTATCTATATTAACCTAAAACGATAAAAAGATAAAAAAAAATTAATGGTAACATGAATAATTAAACAAATAAAAAAAGGGTTAAAATATAAAAAAAATTTATTTTAAAAAAATTAATTTAGTACAAATTTTTAATAAAAATATATTATACCATTCATATTGCACAACATTTATCATTTAAATGGAATGAACTCCCTCATATTAGTAATTATCCTCTCATTCATTGCTTATATTTAGTAATTTACTATAATTCAAACTATAAAATATGAAATTTAATTTTTAATCAAAAAAATTAAACTCATAATTATTTTAATATAAAAAGAGTATAATCTTACATATTATAATAATTTATTCTTTACTTTATTTAAATTTATAATATTGTATATACATATATATTTAATAATATATAAAAATTACCCTCGTATCAAAATATGGTAGATATAGGTTGGAGGCATATCATTACTTTCCTCAGCTTACCCTATGAATTATGATGGAGAAATAATAAGAAGGGACCAATTGCCATATATATGAGAGGAAATCCTAATTAGGAATTACTCCGCATGAGAAATTTGCATCTAATTTTAAGATGGATAATTAGATAGGAGAAAAGTAAAGGTGAAAAATGGTGTACTAGCATAATTATCTTATACCGAAGTACGCATCATAATTTTATTATAAATTTATCTAACTCGTATTCTAAAAACATATATTAAAAGTATAATAAATATATATTTTTTAAAATAAATTTATATTTAAAATGATAAAAATTGATATATATTTTATTAATTATTATGAAAGGGTTTTTCTAATCTTTCTAAAAACATATATTAAAAGTATAATAAATATATATTTTTTAAAATAAATTTATATTTAAAATGATAAAAATTGATATATATTTTAACATTATTAATATATAAATAATTTTAATTAATTAATTAATTAAATCAAAGTTAATATTTATATTTTTAATAAAAATTAATTATAAAAAATATATTTATTACACTTTTATTTTATACTCTTAAAATACAAAATAAAAAAATTCCTTTTATTGGTACCAAATTAAAAACAAAAAGTTGCAAATGGATCAATGATTAGATAGTTGAGGGCCTGATCTACGGTGAAATGTCTGGTGAAAAAATGGAAAAAGTGACGAAGTGTGAAAAACGTGTCTGGTAATTGGTGGACAAAGAGCGGCGCATGGGCCTCGATCTTTTATCAACACCGATCCAATTTAGCCGTTTCAAGCCCCACCACATCCACACCCACAGCTGAGATAACACGACGCACGCACGCCTCTTCTTGTAGCATTGGATCCCGTTTTCCTTTCATTTTCTTTGTTTGGTTTTTTTAATTCGTATTTTAAAGGTGTAGAATATATTAATATATTTTTTGAAAAATTAATTTATATTAAAAATATAAATATTAATTTTATTTTAATTAATTAATTAAGATTATTATTTATGTATTACCAATGTTAAGATAAAAGTCAATTAATCAATTGACTCTTCGAGTTTAATAGTGTATTTTTAAATTTTTGTATTTATTTTTAGTTGATCAAGAGTTCGACTTTTACCAACAACTAGAAAAAAAAAAAATCTCCATTCCCTACAATTTCTCATGTTAAAAAAAAAAAGAAAAGAAAGATAAAGATCAATTAATAAAGTTCATAAAGTAGTTTGTTGGTGATAACTAAATTGACAATTTAGTCCAATATATATTGATTAATTGTTATGATCAAATTTCCATGTAAGAAAGTTCTGATTGCCTATTTGTGAATTTTTCAACATCATTTTCCTTCGTTTTCTCAAAATTCAACAAATAAAATCACAAATTGGTAAAATAAGAAGCATCAGGTGTAGAGCTTTGATAGGTTAATTAACAGAATCTCTTTGTGAAAAAGCTATTACACCAACGTAGCAAGGGTTTGAAGCCTCGCTCTCCCCTCCTTGTAAGGTTAAGTTATAATTGTAAAAAAAAAGTTCCATGCATATGTGGTGCCTAGTTTACGATCAAAATTTAGCTTAGAGAACGAACTACAAAGTGACATTCATGTTTAAGGGTACAAACGAAGTTTTGTTAAGGTGACCCATGTGATCCCTCATGACGTTTTTTCTTTTCGTTTCTCTCAGCATTATAGATTGTTCCTCTGTTGGTTTCTTCGAAGCATAAGGCGTTTTCTTTTTCTTAAGTTTCTACTTGTTTCTACAAACCAAAGGAAAAAAAAAAATGGATGTAATCGAAGGAAGTAGATATCAAAGTGCAATACTACAGACTTTCTCTTCGTTTCTTTCCTTCTTTTTTTTTTTGGTTGTTTTTCTCAGCATCCAAACTGAGGACCAGAGAAGGAAACACAGTAATGGGAAAAAGTAATGTATTCTACAGATTGATGAGAAGCAGAAGCAGTTGACTAATTAATTAAGAGTTGATCAATTAATGTATAAAATAATATTTTATATAATATATAGATATAAATATATAAATTATAAATATATATATATTTATTACATTCTTAATTTTATATATTAAAAATGTAATGTTATATAAATCCTTTCTTGTTTGCTTTGGTTGATTGGGGCAGAGGTGAAATTAAGGAAAGAGAGAGTGGTGTGGGAATAGGATGAAGAAAATTTGAGGAGGCAGCATCTCGGGTGCACCTTTTTTTTTTTACGAG